AACTTAATACTAGGCCGATTTGTTTTGTTCTTCCACTGTATGGAATGGTAATATTGTCACATGGTGACTTATAACTTAATACCAGGCCGATTTGTTTTGTTCTTCCACTGTATGGAATGGTAATATTGTCACATGGTGACTTGTAACTTAATACCAGGCCGATTTGTTTTGTTCTTCCACTGTATGGAATGGTAATATTGTCACATGGTGACTTATAACTTAATACTAGGCCGATTTGTTTTGTTATTCCACGGTAGAGAACGGTTAAAATTAATCATCGTTGTTAGGTAAACTTTTCGTAATTTTTCTCCAACTATGGCTATATCAAAAATAAAGTTTGAACAAGCATCTAATTTTCGAGATTTTTTGTTATTTTTAGTTTCCTGGTGGCTTAGCGATGCTTGAAACCTTATAACGCTAAAATTATGAGTTCGCTACATGAGGTGGATATAAAGCATATAGCCCTTGCGCAGTTTGTGCTTAAACAAATATTTTAACGAATTTTTATTTTTCTTTCTTTTGCAAACGTTTTTGTTCAAATATTTATGGATCATATCTGAATGAGAAACTTAAAGAAACTGGCTTGTTTTGTATGTTTTTCTAAGATTATTATTTTTTCGTCAATCTAAGTTCTATATTTTTCAATGCAACACTCTGCTTCGAGTTAGATTTCGTAGCATCCCACCTAACCTTTTCCTTTAAAAAATTCTAAGAAACTTTCACAACAAACATATCTGTATATTATCTGAAGGTTTTCCATATTTCCCCTTAGTCTATAATTAGTTTGAACGGAACCATTCGCATCCGTGCGACGTTTCACAAGTTACACACCTATTAAACTGGTTCCTGTAGTTCTCCGAATATTTTGTTTGTAGCTTTATTTGTTTGTTTTGAATTTCGCGCAAAGCTACACGAGGGCTATCTGCGCTAGCCGTCCATAATTTAGCAGTGTTAGACTAGAGAGAAGGTAGCTAGTCATCTCCACCCACCGCCAACTCTTGGGCTACTTTTTTACCAACGAACAGTGGGATTGACCGTTACATTATAACGCCCCCACAGCTGAAAGGGCGAGCATGTTTGGTGGGACGGGAATTCGAACCCGCGACCCGCAGATTGCGACTCGAGCGCTTCTAGCCACCTGGCCATGCCGGGCCTTTTTTATAGCTTAGCATATGAATGTTAAACAAAGTTTAAGGAACTGTTCTCACAATGATCACCTGATGATAGTGAATCATTGTTGATGAAACGTATACTTAACTGTTTATAACGAAACAATGTTTATTCTATTTAATAATGTATGTCTGGAATGTATTTCATTTTGTAATATTAAATTGCTGTTCGCGAAAGGTTTCGATTTAAAATGTATTAGAAAATACTTTGAGTTTAACACATTCTAAATACTTTTTGGAAATTTTTGTTAACAAAATAACTTAAATATAACAATATATATTATAAAGTCTCTTTAAAGTCATTTTTCAATGTATGAATTTTGTTTCAAAAGTATTATGAGTAGTCCTGCCGAGTTTCATTTACTGTTGAAAAACAATAACTGAGTACTATATCTTAATTGTTATTATGTTGAAAAATATTGGTAGATGAAAAGGTTTGAGCCGAAGGCATTTTAATGTAATGTAATGTTAAAATGACTTCAGAATGTTGATGATCAGCCGGAATGATGTCAGAAATAGCTCATCTAACAGTTAAAGCTGCCTTTTGCCTCTGACCTCATCATTTTCTCATCTGACTCGTAGTGAAAAGCGAGATAAATACTTTAATCTCTTTTTCTCCTCGTCAGCTGAGTCAGCAAGACCTGAGATGGCATATTCGTCCTCTTCCGACTCATTAGTCCCAACCTCAGACTTTTGGTCAAATAAGGTCATAAAAGGTTCATCTTTCATGTATAGATCCAGATTATCGACGTGCTTTGCGCATTTTTGAGTATATCACGTCCACTATAACTCATATGTCAATGGACCAATCTGTTGGAGTTTGAGGTATGGACCTGTCCATACTACAGCCAAACAGTCTTCACATCTGCTACAGATCGTGCTGATGGATCAACCATTTGGTAATGGTTCACTTTGTGAAGTAGTTGAGAGCAACAAGTATATGTTGATGACCTCCTTCTGTCTCCAGGATTATCTTATATAGAGGAAATCCAACACTTCTTTGTTGGAATTTACCCTATCCAGGCCAATTATTTTTATGGTTGGCACACCCCGTACAATATTCATACAAGTGCAAAAAATCTGGACTCAGAAGCATCCAGAAGAACCACTGAATGTTTACACAAGCGTGGATAATATCTTGGGCCCTTCACTCTTTTTGTTATATAAAGTCTGGAAAACTTCTTGCCTAACATTTTTGGGAATCAACAACTATAGCGATATGAAAACCACAGCTTGGTGGTTTATAGTGACAGAACAGTGCATCTTCCTGCACTCATAACTGACCCTACAAGTACCACAGTAAACGTGTATCTGCGCTATGTTCCTTTATTTTTGCTTTGCCTTGCTACACAGCAAGGAGTGCTCGTGATAGAACTCAATCCTTTGGTTCTTCTTAGAAGAGCTCTTGGAGTGATAATTGTGGCATTTATTTTCTGGCTTAACATTGCCATAGCAAAAGTTCTTATATTTCAACTGGGCATTCCAAGAACAGATAGGTTCTTCCTGTGTGGCAAGATAGTCCATCAACTTTTATGTGTTGCAAGCCAGAAAGTTGTACTATTCTTTTAATATTGTTATCCAACATGCAATCATACCTTCCAGATTATAAACATTTATTAACCATTTCAGTGAATCATAATCCACTTGGATGGGTGTACCTTCTACCATACAAGTAAGGGGTGATAGTATTTTACAAAGATTTCAACTGGTACAGTATCTATCCTAGTTCAGGAGATGTGAGCATATGACTAGTGTATATGATTACACGTTTTTTCCTGACATGGACTGGTAGTTAGGGCACTCAACTCGCCACCTGCGGTTTGAAACCTCTTCACCAAACGTGCTCACCTTTTTCAGCCGTGGTGATGCTAGAATGTGATGGTTAATCCCACTTTTTGTTGTTAAAGAGGAGCCCAAGAACTGGTAGTGGGTGATGTTGGCTAGCTGCCTTCTCTCTAGTCTATCACTTCTAAATTAAAGATGGCTAGTATAGACAGCTCCCAAGAAGCTTTGCGTGAAATTTAACAAACAAACAATTACATATTCTACTTCATCATTCGAGTTTGATAATACTGCACTGATTCCACTACACTTCTAGAAATTGAAAGGGAGTAAAATTTGAAAGACAGTCTTGCGGAATATTGTTTCTCAGTTTAACGCAGTGGCAGTTACCCTGTTACCCTGCTGTACCCACATACTAAAGTGTAATTTTGTTTTGCCTTGCAATGGTAGTCACACATAAATAAAATAAAAAATGTTGAAATATCAGCATTTCAAATAACAAGAAGAAAATGGAAGAGGCCTTACACAATACGAATACTTTATGAAGCCAAAAATAAACACAATATTATTAATGCAGTGTGAACACGTTACTTGTGTTTGTATTCGTAAATCTGGAAGGATATTTTAAATGAGGATGTGACGCCATCATCCCATATGAAGAAGTTTCTTTTTACTGAATAGTTCTATGAGCTTTTCTTGAGCTGCCATTAAATGGATTTCGAATCTAATCATGCTCTTTCATTGATTCTTGGAATTGATCTGAAAATTGCAACTGAAGATTTTTGAGATAAATAGAAACAATGTTACAAATAAGACTATGATTCAACTCATTTTCTCCCAAAATCTCTCTGAAACAAGAAAATATTTCATAGTTTACATTCTCAAGTTGGTTTTTTTCAAAGCCCAACTTTTTTTTTGCGAAATTCTGACACTTTATAACTCTGCTGCAACACATTGCTCTTCCGACCTTGCAGTGACAAGTTAAAGTTGTATATTGAAAATAACCAGGTAGTACAATACTAGAAGTCACTTTTTGTCCACAAAATACGTTGTTAGTGTGGGGTTGCAGTCTAACTAAACAATGTGAAGTTCGTCTTTCAATTACACAACCTGCGAGACAACCAGCG